ATTTCTGTCTTCTGGGTTATTGCGCTGTGTAGTCTGGTCGATGTTAACCAACGTTTCAGAGGTCATACTGCCTCCGTCATCTGAAACGTTGGTTAACATCGACCAGACTACACAGCGCAATAACCCAGAAGACAGAAATCTTTAAATACAATACTATCACCATCAACACACCAACAACCTCCTATGAAAAAGAGTGTGCCCCTAAGCAATAATTACAGTTCCCTCTTCCATGGAAAAAAGTAAAACTGTCTGCTGGTACAGTACCACCCTCATACCATCTAACTTCCAATATGCCCATTACATTTAACTTATATTTTTCTAATTCTCCAGATACAAATTTAAATTAACCTGACCTACTCAGACTCTTGATATTCCAAGTTCCAAATCACATATCCATTTTCTGTTGATTAAATATTCCAAACAATCTGCTCAAGCCTCAGGCCCTGGACAAAATTTTGTAACATGCTGGCATCTTACTTTGAAGAGTTCTTAGCCACCACCTCAACAACCAAGCTCCTTGTCAGCTGTCCAAACAGTTTATTCGGTATATAATCAGCTACTATATAAAACCAAAGAATGTTCCATGCCATGATGACATAAAAACCAGCTCATAGGAAACAATCCATAAATGCTATTCGGTGATTCACATGACAAACAAAAATCTAATATGAAAGAAAAGCATTTTATGTATACATATATATTTATTAAGTTGTTAAAAGTCTTCATTTAACTGAAATACCAACTTCGGTTACGAGGCATGTAATCGAAGCATCACAGTACAAAAATACCATTCTCTTCTGCTCAGTCAATTAACATCTTCCAACACAGGAACACCTTCAATACATACCAATTCTTTCATCCGGTAAAGCAGGTATAATAGATTTTACGTTAAAATCTGTACTCGTCATATCGATGATTAGTTTCTTCCACTTCAGAAATATACAACACAAAAGAGAAAATATCTGCTGTCAAAGTACCTCTGCCCGAAAACCTATTTCCAGCACGAATTCTACCAGCAGACCTACGAAGAAAACGGAACAATGGTCTTGTGATCAGCCTTTGCAAAGCTGCCAACGTGTATTGTTAATAGTGGTGAATGTCTCCATGCCCTGAGAAGTTTACAAGTAATAAGATGACAATCGTTTTAAAGGCAAGACAATTCACATCAATGTAATGAATTCTAAAATACTTGTACTATACAATAAACAAAACCTGTTCTTCTTTTCGTGTACCATAGTTAGTAGCAATGATGCTAGGCGCAAACTTTAAACGTGATCACTAACATATGGGGTGCTTTAAAACGATTTCGTGGTCGCTGGATTGCAAATAGTTTTTTTAATTTATTGTTGTTTACCTTCTTACTGCCATATTTTGCGACGAAACGAAATGTTCGTTTCTCAATAATTGTGCAGCGGCACACCTGCTTTCTGGCAAAGCAACGTCAACAACAGTTAACAAAACTTCACCACAGAACCTTACCCATAAACTGATAACCCTATTGCTATTATATAGTTCCCTTAAAATTACTATTAATTTAAATATTTCATATTGCGATACAGCTATGAACCAGGGACATACCTTGCTCCTCAGGTGTATTATTCTGTCATCTTCCAAACAGTCCTTATCCAAATGACTTTGTGCCCAATATTTTATATGAATTTCTTGCTGCTTCCACCTAACCTACATGCTCATCCCTTCATAACCTACTTGACTGATTTTTATATCAACATTCTTTCAACCGACTGCCCTAACATTACCAGAGAATCTATATCATGAACTTTAATGTTATACAATTTTGTCCCATTTCCAAGTATGCCAACTTGATCTCTGTATGTTTAAAATATTTTCATTAGTGCTTGATCCCAAATTATTTTCAATTTATGTTATTTAAATTTTAATTATGGCTTTCCCATCTTCTTCAGCCTTCCACATGGAGGTTATCCAAGTTTCCCACCAAAATTTTGTAATATATTCCCCAGTCTATCTAAACCACCTAGTTTTCACTGTTCTAACAATCAACAGCACTTTGTATAAATCAGTTTCTCATTATGCATTATCCTAAATTTCTCACCTTCTTTCTCTCTTTCAGCCAAAAGAATTCCTGAGATCTGTGATTTTGAACACTTGTTTTCACCCAATAATTATTAAATATCTTCAGTGGTTCTGATGTGACTGGATCCTCAGAAGTCGCAACTTCCAAGGATCCAGTCAATATTAAATAACTTTTTCTTATGTCACTGTATTTCAGACAGGTTGATACTATTAAACGAGCACATTTTTGGGTTTTAAAGGCTTGTGCATGGCATTACTTCTTTGGTTCTTCAGTTACAAGGTCCCTTTACTCCTTTACATAATGTAAATCTCAATACAATTTACTCATATAAACAGAATACAGTCTAAGTGTGTATTCTAACACCATATATCAATTAGTGTGTATAATGCAATATACTACAGTCAGAAATCAGAAAATGCAGACTGAATTTGTTTATAACGCCTTCTATGTTTTTTAGATTTAATTAAAAAGATGTGTGAACTGCAGACATTATGAATTGTAAAATTAAATAGGATAATTATCAGTAATGAAGGAGTGATCTGGTAGGGAACATCCATGCAGTTTCTGAAACCACAGACCAACTTCATAGACAAACTATAGAAAACTGTGGAAGAAGATATATTCTTCCCTTCACTTAAATATTTCTAACGAAATGAGCATGCAGCACCATCTCCAGCAACACTCCTCTCCACTTAGATCATTACACTTACTACAGGGAGCCGCATACTTACATTACGATTTAGCAGGCACCCCACAAAAACCTCCTTAGCCACATATAGCTCCACCTTTACCTTCTGATATACAGATCTTATCCACAAACTTGTACTTTAAAAATTACAAAATAGAAATGAAATCATTCCGAAGTTGCATCTGAACAAGGTGGTCAAATGCACCAACACAAAACAGACAACCTGACTCCAGACTCCTACTCTGAATGTGCCACAATAACCTCATTTGCATTTCTTGCTACCAGAGATGCTACGATTAGAATTTAACTTCAAATGTTTCTGCACCACACAAATTGAACACTTGTACAGTCAAGCATTATGGACACTGGCTACTATATTTGGAGTAGATTCAAATTTTATTTATGTGTAAAACTGTTATTTCATTTCTAATGCATCCAGCTGTGGTCTCTTCAATCTTCCTGCTTGAAAGGTGAAAGAGTTCATTTCTAAAGTGAGGGCTCCTGGAAAAACTAGACAGGCATGGACAGGCTGATAATGTACTTCGTTCATGCTAGAATGTGAAGAATGTCTAATAAATTGGGAATAGGTAAAATATATCAGAGATGGGTGTTTCCTGGAAGCTAAGAAACGGTTCTCAATTCTGTGTAACATGTCTAAAAAAGTCATTTTCTAATGAAAAACATGGTAAAGCATGTAAACTAGATTTCAGTTGCTTAAATAATAGAAATCATTACTAACCTGCATGACACAATTCACAAGTGATGCAAAAGCAAGACTATATTCATTTCAAAATTTGTAGTGATAGGGCATTTTAAAATAAACTTCTCTCCCCTTCCAAACTTGACTTTCCCTCATTTTTTTATTGCAGCAGAATGGAAGGAACTGAACTGGTAAAGTCAATGGTTATACTTACTATATTAATTCTGCTACATAAATCACATGAAAATATTAGAATATCTATATTTCTTATTCTAGCATTTTCACATATGGGAAAACATGATATCAAGTTCGATCATAATATTCTTCTCTTTAAAAACCCTGTCTATACAAATTATTATGTTACAGCTGTGAACTTCATAATCTGATCCATGGATTTTTGGCAATAAAAAATGACAATGAATTACTTTCCTACAAGGTACAGCCCAGTTCTGTATACTGTTGAAACACAGAAAATTGTCAATGGGACCAAAATCCTTGAAGATAATGTCACTACACAACCTTGTAGCGTGCCTTGTTCATGATATGGTGAGCTGAGCTCTGTAGTTTCAACAGTTCCTCCTTAATTAGCCGTGTAATTTCAATCTTTGCCTTTGACACTGCCAGTTCATTTGTACTTTCAATAGCAAGGTACAATTTCCGCTCTCCTTCTGGTGCTGGTTTTCCTGGTGTGAAATAGGTACCACGAACAGTGATTCCGGCCTCAGAATACTCGCTGATTTGGGCCAAAGCCTCCTGCAAAGGGATTGCACAAATATGTGAAATGTATATATACTTGAAACATTAGATTTTTGGACCTTGTCCATCATCTGACATTATAAAATGTACATCATTTTGAGAACTGACTCTGTCTTCATCTTCAGGTGTAGTGAAGGGTGCATGTGCTCTGTGGGGTCCAGTTGAATGAGCAAACTATGCCAGACAATTGACAAGGTTCAAAACCCCAACAATCCAGATTATATTACAACATTGTCAGTACCATTCATAATCAATTTATATCTACTTGTCTCTATCAAATTGATATTGGGTTCTCTTTTCTAAAGAGAAAAGGCAGATGAAGCATGAAGGTGTTAATATTTAAAATGGAGGGTTGATCACACTTCAGTGTGAAAGACTGAACATTTCTAGTGTTATATGTAAAGAACTATGAAATAAAAACTTTTGTTTGCAAATCTCTACAACAGGATTTCAGAAATATAACAAATCCACCACCCACTTAACAAAATTCACTTGCCAGGTCTTCACACATACTTTTATAATTAACATCAGTCTCCTAAAATTTGCCCATAGTGGTAATTTCTATATGCCAAACCTACAAAACATTTTTAAAAAAGTGGAAGTGGATCATGCATCTGTATGTAATGACACATTTTTACTCTATTAATTATCCTAGCACCACTATTTAAAATCATAAAAAGGACTGTGCTCATGTAAATTTCACAGGGCAGCTGTTTACTCTTTGTGACAAGCAAATTAAAACATGGTTCTAACCTTAGATGTGACCCTCCACCTAGCCTGTTGAGGGAAGTCATTTATCTCTAGCTCTTCTTCATATTTGCGGAATGTCTCCACTTGTTCTTCTTCTGCTTTATCATCCTCCTCTTTAGGTTGATAGTTTAGTTTGGTATTCAACTTGGCAGCCAGCTGCTCTGCTACTGTCTTTGCCTGTAAATAAATGGAGCATTGAGTAATTCATGTCCTGCCACTCATGTCAAAAACTGAAATAATACAAATACTAAAGAAATAATCATGAAATAATTACATATAATGAGCTAACAGTACTTATCTCTCAAATCATATATCACCTGCTAGCAAAAAGTAACCACTTATAGCTGTACGGTATCTGGAATTCAAAAACCAAGGTCATGCGGAAAAAATGGACAGATGAGATGCCCCAGCTAAGAGTAAAGATGGTGTGGTCTGATTATGGTTCAAACTCTGAATGTGTTAAGGAACCTTACTGGAAAGTAGACTAAAATCATTCCCAGGAGTGTAAGATTTGCTGTCATCAGCAACAAAGAAATTATCTGTTTACACAAAAGATACACTATTGTTGATGTAAATTTTATATATGCTTTCAACTGACAATCTAGAAACTACTCTCCTTTTCCCCCGTCACATATCTGTCAGTGCCCATCTGGATGTTAATAATGCTTACCGTGATGAGAGGCTGTGATCCACCACCTTTGAGGATGGCTTCTGCAGCCTGCTGTGTGGCTCCCTTAGCCTCTGCTCCAAGGTTCTTTGCCATGTTGATACGTGAAGCAAGACGACGAGCCAGTTCCAACTTGTCTGTTGCTGATGGGATCAGCTGACTTGGCACTACTGCAATAACAGCATCAAGTTTAAAATTAAGTCAGAACTGTTATGTTTAAGTTGGCCTTCAGCCCTGAAGATGGAGACAGTGTGCTCCTCTGAAACATTCATTTCTAGTGTTATATGTAAAGAACTATGAAATAAAAACTTTTGTTTGCAAATCTCTACAACAGGATTTCAGAAATATAACAAATCCACCACCCACTTAACAAAATTCACTTGCCAGGTCTTCACACATACTTTTATAATTAACATCAGTCTCCTAAAATTTGCCCATAGTGGTAATTTCTATATGCCAAACCTACAAAACATTTTTAAAAAAGTGGAAGTGGATCATGCATCTGTATGTAATGACACATTTTTACTCTATTAATTATCCTAGCACCACTATTTAAAATCATAAAAAGGACTGTGCTCATGTAAATTTCACAGGGCAGCTGTTTACTCTTTGTGACAAGCAAATTAAAACATGGTTCTAACCTTAGATGTGACCCTCCACCTAGCCTGTTGAGGGAAGTCATTTATCTCTAGCTCTTCTTCATATTTGCGGAATGTCTCCACTTGTTCTTCTTCTGCTTTATCATCCTCCTCTTTAGGTTGATAGTTTAGTTTGGTATTCAACTTGGCAGCCAGCTGCTCTGCTACTGTCTTTGCCTGTAAATAAATGGAGCATTGAGTAATTCATGTCCTGCCACTCATGTCAAAAACTGAAATAATACAAATACTAAAGAAATAATCATGAAATAATTACATATAATGAGCTAACAGTACTTATCTCTCAAATCATATATCACCTGCTAGCAAAAAGTAACCACTTATAGCTGTACGGTATCTGGAATTCAAAAACCAAGGTCATGCGGAAAAAATGGACAGATGAGATGCCCCAGCTAAGAGTAAAGATGGTGTGGTCTGATTATGGTTCAAACTCTGAATGTGTTAAGGAACCTTACTGGAAAGTAGACTAAAATCATTCCCAGGAGTGTAAGATTTGCTGTCATCAGCAACAAAGAAATTATCTGTTTACACAAAAGATACACTATTGTTGATGTAAATTTTATATATGCTTTCAACTGACAATCTAGAAACTACTCTCCTTTTCCCCCGTCACATATCTGTCAGTGCCCATCTGGATGTTAATAATGCTTACCGTGATGAGAGGCTGTGATCCACCACCTTTGAGGATGGCTTCTGCAGCCTGCTGTGTGGCTCCCTTAGCCTCTGCTCCAAGGTTCTTTGCCATGTTGATACGTGAAGCAAGACGACGAGCCAGTTCCAACTTGTCTGTTGCTGATGGGATCAGCTGACTTGGCACTACTGCAATAACAGCATCAAGTTTAAAATTAAGTCAGAACTGTTATGTTTAAGTTGGCCTTCAGCCCTGAAGATGGAGACAGTGTGCTCCTCTGAAACATTGGTATGTACATGCAAGTCCCCCCCCCAAAAAAAAATTCATTGTACTTCGCTAAGGAATTGCCTTTCAGATGCTCAATTATAAATATGTTTTTCTTTAAATTTCTCTGTATTTGCACTTTCATACTGTCCTATTCAGTTCTCAATCATCAACAGTGAAAAGTACCTGGAGCTCCTGGGTTCATTCCTATTGGTGCCTTTATTTCCTTTACAATTCTCTTTGGTGCCAACATGTTTTCAATTTGCTGGTCAATGTCATGCTCCAAATCCTCATCATCAGAGTCTTGCAAACCTGCAAATAAAGCAAAGAAGAAATAAACCACAAATTTATCTACACAATTACCACAAGAAATATATAATAATAAAAGAGAATATGTTACCAAGAGCAGCCTTCTGGAACTTCTTCTTCTCGCTCACCATCATGGCCTCTGCTTCATCAAACTTAAAACCCTTGCCACTAAAACCTCCGCCTGTGTGAACTTTCTTGCCCTCCTGTGACAAACCAATACAAATGTTTATTTTTTTCCATGCTCAAAGTTTACTTACTGATGTAAACAAAGATACTAGTTTAAGATGGAAGCCATAGCTATGATGGACTGACAAAATACAAAACAGATAATAAGTAATATTAAAAAAGCAATTTCAAGCCAATTCAATACTCACAGCAGCTTGTTTGGCTTTATAACGGTCCCACAGTATCCTTAAAGGATCAGGTACTGGTACCAGAGACAACTCCAATGCTCGTACAATATCGCCTGAGTACCTCTCCTGCTCTGGTGTGATAAATGTGTATGCAAATCCCTTGTTGCCAGCCCTAGAATAATCAAACATGACTTACTTTCTCTTCTGTCAAGACTACAAGGTACAGATAATACTAATTCCTAACAATGACACGCAATGTTATGGTTGAGTAGTTGGCAATCTTATTTCATATCAGGTAGAGCCCAAGTTCAAATCTCAGCCTGGAGACCGGTTATCCGTACTGTGGTCTTTCAGAGACTTTTTCTCAGTCCTTCTAGGCAAATGCTGAGGCAGTGTCTCAAAATGACCATGACTGCTTCCTTCCACATCCTTTCCAATCTGCTGTTCAACTGAAAGTTGCCAAATAAACCAGGACCAAAATTAACTATGACATTAGATGGAAGCAGGTGGTCACTCATTTGACTACACCTAGTGAATGTATATCTGATGTCATTTGGACAGGATCAGGGGATATCTTGCTGTAGCAGATAAAACTGTTCACTGTTTGCTTAACATTACTTATGTCTCATACCTGCCAGTTCTTCCACAACGATGAACATAATCCTCATAATGATTTGGGCAGTCATAATTGACAACAAGGATGAGATGTTTGACATCAAGACCACGAGCAGCAACTGAAGTTGCCACAAGCAGCCGCACCTTGCCTGACTTGAAGTCAACTATAGTACTGTCTCGGTCAAACTGGTCAATGCCTCCATGAAGTGACATGCACTGATATGAGGCCTTCATGAGGTCCTTGAGCAGGATATCAGCATTCTCCTGCTTGTCCACGAACACTATGATGCTGCCCAGTCCTTGGTAGTGTCCAAGAAGCTCAAGCAGCTTGAGGAACTTCTGCTCCTCCTCTAGCACAATGACATTTTGTTCCACTTCCTTGCACACCACGCTGCGGCCCCCGACCTGATAATGACATACAAGCCAATTCATCACACTGCTTATTCACAACTAAGAAAATACCCTGAGTCTAGAATATTTGATAATTAATTCTCTGGGACTCATCACAGGTTTGCCTGACCCAGAAAACAAGTACAGAATGGTGTCAACTTCGGGTGTATAAGTATGTCTTCTGGCATCTGCCATTAGAACTTCATTGCATATGAATGTGTAACCAACAAACAAAAGTCTCTGCATGTCCTAACCTCATAAACTGTTGCCAAATGCCATTTCATCAATACTTGCACAAATCTGTAACACAGAATAACTTACATAACAGTGTAGTATGCTAAAGCAAAGCAAGTCAATATTTAAAAAGAAATGAGGGTGAAAATGAGTACTACCATGGAGTACACAAATTTTCCAAATGAGTTCCTTGTGATATTTTTTTTATTTTTGTATTTCATTGGCACTTATGTTATTTCAGATGCAGACCTGTTGTTGTAAAGCTATTTGCAATAAAGATTGCAATATATATATGTGCATTAATAACTCAATACCCACATCCCTATATTACTTCCTTTCATAAATTTCAGAAGTAGTTAGTGATCTTTTTCACAGCATATTTCAGTCTTCACATTAATGCAATGTATTATTATCATCAAATTTTGATATGATATACTTTCCTTTCAGTCACTGTTGACAAAAATATGGAATGTGAGCCCAGACACCAGATTTCTAAAAACACTAGAATTCCTCGAGAGAAGTATGTTTCTATCAACATGACTCTGGCTTGTCGCCTACACTCCTTAGTACACAAAGCGCTGAACTCAAAACACATAAGAGCTGAGCTAGCAAATCCTTCCTGTTTCTGCATGAACATGCACCAGAAAACTAGCACTGATGCACCACATTAACTCTGAACAACTACATACCTGGATTTCTATTGGTTTGGTAAGAATACGCCGAGCAAGTGCTTCCATCTGCCGAGGAAATGTTGCACTAAACATTACAGTTTGTCGATCTGGTCTGATATTTTCAATAATTCTCATCACCTGTAAAGAGAGAGAAATAACATTTATACCTAACATCATGCATATGGGGGGCATGTTACTGGGGCCTCAAAATGCCCTATACAACATTTGACCAGGTGAATTGCATTATGATCATGTTCATACCCAACGATACTGTTGGTCTTTAAGATAATCGTCAAGAGACACACTGAGGTGTCACTATATTGTGAATTATAATTAAAACACAAAGTAAAACAGAAATTCCCAATGATAGGGTTACACAGTGTCTGATACACAAAGACATAAAACACAAGAACAGAAATGGTGATTATGGTCTTCTACTTAGTGACAACACAAAGACTTTAGATGATTACAAGTATTCTCAAGGAAATTTTAAGATAGAGGAAACACCAGTAACCACCTACAAGACTTTATAGCACATAACCACCCACAGAACAGTAATAAACATCACCAATGACATGAGAACCTGAATCTCAGAAGGAAAATTAATTTTCTCATTAAATGGACTTTAACTACAGACTGAAGGCACTCCACTCTACCACTGACAGAGTGCATGCCATCTACAAAATATGTGCAATACTAAGGGTTTCGTTTAACCTTTATTGTCCATAGGCCACTGTTAACACACGATATAGCTGGTCATGCAACAAACTAGTACACTGCTAAACCATAAACATCAAAGTTAAAATTTGGCTGGAAGTCCTTAATATAGGATTTTAAATCCTCTACAAAAGTTATGTAAAACTCTGACTTGCTTACCCTAGACTTCATTAATTTAGAATCAGAGTATAAGAATAACTTGCCTGAGGTTCAAAACCCATGTCAAACATTCGATCTGCCTCATCCAGCACTACATATGTCACACGCTTCAGATTGGTCACTCTGCCTGCAAAGAAATGCGATTTCAATAAGAAATACTTTGAGATGAATGCAATACGCATATTAATTGCACCTTGTGCAAGACATCTTTACTATGCAAGCCAATGTGCAGGAGGCAGGATAACACATGATTCAAAACTGTATATTTATATTAATACTTATTTTCAGAGAAATCATAAAGGAATGACAGGGTTATGACAATAATACATCAAAATTTAAATGGAGTGGCAGGGTGAGAGAAAACTTGCCAGTAATGATTTGAAAAGGCAAATGGAATATATACATTTTTTTTTTTTTTGGGGGGGGGGGGGGAAGAGGAGGATATATATTGAATATTTGTATCATTCTATCATACTGTAGTAGAAAAATATACAAACCGAGAATTAGTGAGTGTGGCCAGACAAGAAAAAATTAATGGATACAATATTTCAGTGCTCAGAATACAAAATCAACCCATGTGTTGACAGTGTGTTTGTATTTACCATACAAAGGACTTCTACAAAAGATAGCCATCACAATTTAGGAAGAAAAATGTTTTCAAAAATTTTGGTGTTGTATATTTGGATTTATATACACAATATTTTGTTTTATTTCACGCATCTATAAACATTTCAAAACAGTTTTATAGTAGTAAAAAATAATGCAATGTATTTTTCCTCAAATGCTTTCAACTTAAATATTTTAATACAAATATTTAAACATTTCTTAATTCTAATAACATAAGTTAAATCCAGCTATCAGCATCATATGATAAAAGGTCAAAAGCTATGTCTTACACAAAGAGACTGCAATGAAAATGAGGCATGTATAAAAATGGAAATCTGCCACAAAGAATGAAACTCCTGGTTTCTACATAAAACTTTTAGTCACATGGCATATTTCAAACAGTAACATAAGAAAGTTATATCGTAGTGAAGAAAATACCCACCACTGTTGGCAGCCAGAAGGTCAATCATTCGACCAGGAGTGCAAACAATGATCTCTGCTCCCCGTTTCAGCTCTGCAATCTGTTCAGATATCCCAGTACCTCCATACACACATACAGCCCTTAGATTCAGTGACTTAGTGAACTTCTTGCACTCCTTCCCAATCTGCATACACAGCTCACGGGTTGGAGTCATTATAACAGCTAAAACAATGGCAAATATTAAAATGTAAAAGTATACCTCTACCATCAGGACCAACTTAAACACACTTCCAAAAGTTAACATACATTTCTAAGCATAAGATAAGAAACATAAATAATGATATCCATAAAATAACCTCAAATTTAAGGACTGATGGAGAGATGGTATATTCCAAAGTGATTCCCTCTGTGTAAAAACACTTTGCCACATTTAACAGTAGAATGTGGCAAATGACAATTTTAATTTGTTGGTCTGCAATAAAATCTTATTGCACAAATTAAACATGCTACAAGACAGATTCTTTGTGCAATGAGTTGCCTTGAACTGTTTTACCTATAGGACCCTCCATTTCTTCCAGCGGTGGTTGGTCCATGATGTGCCGCAACATAGGCAGAAGGAAGGCCAACGTTTTCCCACTTCCTGTCTTGGCAATACCAATCAAGTCTCGCCCTGAAAAAATGCAATCATCATAAATACAAAGCAGCATTAATAAGCCACGACAGTTCGATTCCTTCAACATACACAAAATCTGCAAGTAGAAACATTACAAGAAAATATATTCATATTGAGGATACAGTGATATGGGTATGCATTATTCATGGCAAAATGGGTTCCTTCTAGAGTTTGAAATGAATATATTTAAAAAACAACTAACAGACAGAGCTAGTGGGGTAAAATATACAAATTAAATTAAAACTAAACAAAGACATGACAGAAGTGCTTATTGGTGAAAAGAGAAGAATGCAGAAGTTTCTAGCAGAGGGTAATTCACAGAGTGAAAATATTGATACATGCTACTTGAATATCACACCTCAAAAATATGAAGGCAGAGTAATTTCAAGCAGTCTGTCTTCATCCCTTCATAAAAGAGAACTTTCTGTTTCTAAATTCTAATGCTTACAGTTATGATGTTTCAAACTTATTAGGCTACTGCTGGTTCAGTATGGTAGAGAAATCTATCACTTCTAAAGATGGCTTCTGTTTAATTCCAGTGACACAGTACCAGAAGCAGTAAAAGTGGATGCAACTTTAACGTTATCTACCTCATATTGGAGATTTAACTCCCTCATTAGCCTATCAGACTAATTCACCAATACTACAAAGGAAAGTATAGTATCCCAACATTCTGGCAATTACTATCTGCTGCCATTTCAAAACAACCTTGTCCAGTAATCACCCATATTTACTTGAAGAATCCATTAAGGTGATCAGATGAACATTAAAAAAATTATTTATGGTTAATACACATAAAATACATTTGAAACAACCTTAACTTCATATAAAACAAATCTACATTTTAGTTTCCAATTTTCAAAAATTTAAATATTTCTTTAGGTATGTCAACAGGATACAGAAAATGATCCTGTACATGAAGTCACACTAAGGCTAGGGCTGTAGGGTCCTGGTATTCCCCACAATCACCGTTAAGATTTTGTCCCAGCAATGAATAGCACGTAAGAAATTATTGAACATTGTATTTTAGGTATAGATAACAATCACAAAATAACTTTATTTATTTTGTACTACAGAAATCTACTGAATGAATATGGGTGTCTTCTGGGTTAGAGCACTGTGTAATCTGGTAGTAATTTACCAATGTTTCAGAGGTCCTTCCTGCCTCCAGACAACATGGCACTATATCCCAAAATACAGTTATCTTCTTACTCACTGTGGTGAGAACCTCAAATCCTACTTAATCTGATGAATATTCCCAGTATAATCACACTTACCTGTCATGATGGCAGGTATGGCTTGTACCTGGATTGGTGTTGGTCTCTCATAGTTTTGTTTCTTCAACACATCCAGCTCCTTCTTACTGACACCGCACTGTGCCCATGTTTTGATTGGTTTTGGGCAACCCTTCCCTTTCACCCGGATACCTTCCAGTTCCTTTAAAGACATTTAATGTAAATGGTTTTGAGTAATAAACTTATACAGTAAAATTGCAGAGCATGAGGCAAGAAAAAACCATTGAAAATCAACCCCAGATCTGACCAGTCTTGTCCAAAGACCTCTGGCACATAAATCCATAATTCTACCATTGACCACCAAGTACTCACCTCAGAATGTAAATAAGAAAATTACTATGAGTGAATTTGACTGTATAAACAAGTCAAGTGAAGGTAACATGTAATCTCATGTGAACCATACCTCCTTGTATGCCTCCACCTCTTCAGGAGTCATGCGTGCTATCTCAGGCACTTCAACATAGAAGTTCTTGCGGAATGGTGTGTACTGCATATTGGAATGGTCCACCTTTGCCAATTCCTTCTTCTGCTTGTTGGCAATTCCAGCTGCTGTCACATTAAGATCTTCCTCCTCCTCTTCTGATGAGTACTGTCAATAAAATTAGCACACTATTGTTACCATCCAATACATGCATGATTTCCACAGTAAAAAACAGTACAAACCCTACCATTGATTAATTTAATTTAATTTACATCATCATACTTGTACTTTCAAGAAAATACTAAATTCAAAAATAGTCACTAAACTTTTCATGCATTCTCCACCTTCCATCACACGCAAGCTTTATAATAATTATTCAACATGATCTATGTGAGATATGGTTCTTTCATATTTAGGTTAGACTGGAGATTTCTGTAATATTCCTTCTTCTCTCATGTTGGTACTTGGCCATAAGTTCTACTTGCAATTTTACATGCCAAATATGCCATTAAACAAAATAATGAGTTGAACTAAATGGCTGGGTTTGCATTTCCAGGATCACATGCAGTATACAGTCACAACATATCATACCTCCAAACCATCCTGGTTCTGCTCAATCAGTTCCCCCTTCTTTTTGTCGACTTTCTTTTTGGCAACACCCGTCACTATAACAACACCAGAACTGTTTGTGTTGACAGCAGTTCCTGATTTCCCATCGGTCTTCTTACCATCAATTTTATTTACCTTCCTCACCTCTTCTTGAACACCCTATAAACATGAAAAAGGTAGAAGAAATACAAATACAGTAGAGTCCCTATTATCTGACCTTCGGTTATCTGAAAATCCATTTTATCTGCTGTGTTGCGAGTCAGAGTGAGGGACTAAATTCTATCAAGACCACACTTGTCTATGTTGAACAATAAATGTAGGTAACCACTACAGGATTATTACTGTTCTGGCATTAGTGTCCACAAAGAGAATGAAGAAGGCTCTGAAGCAAATACCTATTATTAATTTCTTGAAAAATAAACTCTTTCACTTATAAATTTACATTATGAACATACTGTTTTTGTTTGTGAGATTTTTTCATTTTTTTCATAATTTAATAGACATCATAAATAGAGTTACAACTTGAGCTGTATTTGATCTCATTTTCTTCCCATTAATCTTCCATATTATCCAACACTTTTGATTACCTGACTATCCTTCAGTTCCATTTAGGTCACATAATCAGGACTCTGCTGTACAGTGATTTTGAAGGAAAGCTAAAACAAGTTTTTAATGCATTATCAACATCAGAGTCAGAAGTTTGTGCAAACAATTACAACGTTCTACTCATACTTTATGTTCAGAACTCAAAACTACAGTTTACATTCTGAACATGATGATGATGACCATAATTGCATAAAATGACTAAGAAAAATGCCAAAATAAATTAACAAAAATGGATAATATCAAAACTATAATATTAGGCAAGATCCAAAGGTAGAAACGGAAAACAACTGATAAAATACAGACTGAGGGGTTTAAGCATGGGTTACATATGGATGATAACAGGATTCCAATGACATAACAAGTCTCTGTCAAATAAGCACCAGTCCATGAATACTCATGATGAGGTTCCAATTAGCATGAGCAAATCAGGGCAGAAGCCAGTACATTTGCAAGGTGTTTAGCAGGAAAATCCCAACACATAGTCACATTTTAACATTTGTTTAACATAATGGTAATTTCTGGAAACAAAGTGTGCAATATATTAAAGAGTGAATAAGCAAGCCAATACAATAATGTTGTATGTTAAAAAATGGCTGACCTGCATGAAAGCATCCAGGGGGTCAACCTCCTCCTCTATAATTTCATCCTTGTTCTCCTTATTGTCTTGCTTGTCTTCTTCTTCATCACTGTCATCTTCTAATGTCCACTTCTTCATTGGCAGCTGCAAGTTAGCTGTAACATTTATATGATTCTATTTCAATCATCATTATTTCTAGAATGGCACTACAGCCCAAGTCAGGCCCTAGCCTCCCTTCTAGACGTCTATAGAGACCAATATTTCCCTTCACTTATAATTTTTAACTATACATTCAAATTAGCTTGAATTTTCATGACCAGCAAGAAGATACTAAAACTGTCTTTTCATAATGTATGATCAGGAAGCAAGTTTAATATTCACATTAAAAGAAGAGAATTTATTACATACCACTGCCCATTTTCATATACTAGAGCAGGGCGCTCCTTTCGGAGCTCCTAGGGGGGTTGATCAATTTCTTAAAACGCAACCAACCTTTGTTAGTCCCGAAGGGGAGTTAGTTTAGTGTCTCATTCAAGTGTTTTAACCCCTGAGTAAGAAATTAAACTATCCCCCCGAATGGGGGGGTTTAAACACTTGACCAACCCCCCGAAGGGGGTTGGTTGCGTTTTAAAATTTTGAGTAAGACACTAAACTAACCCCCGTGTATAAACAAATATATTGTGATATTGTTGATGATGTCATTTTTTGACGACAACGATGGCTAATTCTTTCGGAGCGCTTCCTGTAATCTGATATTTTACTTTTTACGTCGCTGATCAGAGGCCAACAGTTCTTGGTTAGTCAACTTTCTACGTCCAACCCCACCCTTCCAAATTTTCGTCTGTTTTTCTACGTGTGTTGTTAATATGGTCTCGTTTAACAATGTAAGTCTTCTTTCGCTTATCCTTATTTGTTAAATAGATCTGATGTTTTAGTTCTTTACATCGATGTTCAGATGCCAACTGTTTTTGGTCAGACAACTTTCTACGTCCAACCCCACCCTTGCAAGTCTTCGTTTGTTTTCTTCTGTTCTTGTTGAATAAGTTTTTCTGCGTTTACCAATGTAAATATCCCTTCGCTTTTCTTTACTTGTTAAGTAGGTCTGATGTTTTAATTCTTTACGTCGCTGTTCAGAGGCCAACTGTTCTTGGTTAGTCAACTTTCTACGTCCAACAACACCCTAGCAAAT